GGGGGGGGGGGGGGGGGGGGGGGGGGGGGGGGGAGGGGCGGGTGATGGGTGCAGTCGGGAATAAACAAACAAATTTTTTTTTTCTTCAGTTCTCTTACTGATGTTTAGTTAAGAAAGAAAAGAGAGAGGAGAAGAAGAAGAAAAAGAAAAAGAAATTTTTTTTTGTTTTTTTTTTTCTTTTTTTTTTGTTTTGTTTTTACCAATCTTTTCACACGCTTCAGTTACTTTTATATTATCTGAATGCGCAATCTTTTTGAACTCAGTAAAAATGAGTGAAAATTGGTCATTTTGAATCAGTGAAGAGGGATACTTGGATTAAACATCTCAATTTACGCTCAGTAAACGTTCAATGTTTAGTTCGGTTCAATCTAGTTTGGTTTGGTTTAGTTTAGTTTAGTTTAGTTTAGTTTAGTTTTTTTTTTTTTGCTAGTTTCGTTTAGTTTAATTCAGCTTAGTTTGGTTTAGTTTAGCTTAGCTTAGCTTAGTTAAGTTTTTGTTTAGTTTAGTTTACCACTCTTTTATTCACACTTCTCTCTTTATATACTTTTTTTTTTTTTCATCTTTTTATTCTTCTCTTTTCTTCTTTACAAATCTTTTTTTTTTGTCATATTGAAATGCACATTCCCTCCATCGTCTCCCCCGCATATAGACTAGTTAAAAACAAAAAAATTTTTTTTTTTTAATTTATATCAACAAAACATCAGTCATCTATTTGATTTGTGCATCAATTATTTTTAGTGCTCTTATACTGTTATTACTGCCGCAGTTACTACTTTTTTTTTTTGTTATCACTGTTGCCACTGTTAATCAGAAACTGGTATGATTTATTTGACTTTCTACACTGATAACAATGAACTGACCGGAGGAACAGTTAGCGGAAAGTCTGCTGCCGCTACTGCTGGTGTGATGGTGGTAGTGGCGGTAATGATGGAAACAACAGCAAAATAATTTAACACTTTGAATACTTTGCTTGGTGATATATCAAATCCAAAACCAGCTGTATGATAACAGCTGCATGAGATTCAGATTTATCGGTACGACATCGCTTTAGTCTATACTGAACAGTCATTTATAAAACAGACAAACACAGATGGTATTTACCCAATTATCAATAATACAGAGATTTGTCAGCCCCAGTAGAGCAGCATTAAGGGAAACTTGTTTATCATAAATCTACGAATTGCGAAGAATGCATGGGAAAGTCTTCAATTCCTCTGTTGTTGTTGTTGTTGTTGTTGTTGTTTTCAATGGTGTTAGTGATGTTGTTGTTAGACACCTCCTACTCCAATAAATATTTCAATAAGTTTTTCCTTCTGTTTAAAGAACATCGTTCCAAAAAAAAAAAACAAAGAAAAACAATGCAGCTGTGTAGCAGAAAACGAAAATCCTCGTATAACTTCTTCGTTTATTTGCCTATAAAATGGTATTAATAATAATTGCCACTTTAGTGACAGCAACAGTTGTATCGGTGATGACATAAGGATGACAAGAGCAAAATAATATTATTATATAAAGATGTATATACATTTATATACATTTGATAAATATATGTTTAACAAAGCAAAAAAAGATGAGAAAATATTATAAGCCAAAAGAAGAAATTTTGATCATCAAAATTATCTTTGGAATT